GCTGAGAGAGGTAACACGTGAGATCTGAACACTAGCCCAGGTAGTCTGGCTACAGATTCTGGGCTGTCAACCATTTAGCTATATACTGCTTCTAAATACAAAGAAAAGAATTAACTCATGACAGTGCTTTCAAAAAGCCTCATGTTATCCATCTGCCCACAAAATTTGCATAGACAAACATATGGTAAAAATAAAATTTCCTGGCCAGGCGCAGTGGCTCACGCCTATAATCCTAGCACTTTGGGAGGCTGAGGCGGGCAGATCACCTGAGGTCGGGAATTCAAGACCATCCTGACCAACATGGAGAAACCCTGACTCTACTAAAAATACAAAATTAGCTGGGTGTGGTGGTACATGCCTCTAATCCCAGCTACTTGGGAGGCTGAGGCAGGAAAATCACTTGAACCTGGGAGGCGAAGGTTGCCGTGAGCCAAGATTGCACCAGTGCACTCTAGCCTGGGCAACAAGAGTGAAACTCCATCTCAAAAAAAAAGAAAAAGAAAAATAAATAAATAAATAAAATTTCCTATTCTGCCACAAAACACAATACAGTATAGCAAAGCACGTTGCAGTGTTGCTGAAATCTTCTAAGTTGTTTGAATGGCTGCATCCTAGTCTATCAAGAGGATAGACAATAAACTAACGTAACCAGTCCCTTGTTATTGGGCATATGGGTTGTTGCCGATATTTTATTCGAAACATAACTGTTTTTGAAATATAGTTTATATTCGGTAAAGTACACCAATTTTAAGAGTACAGTTCAATAAATTTTGACAAATGTATAAACCTGTGCTACCACTACCACAGTCAAGATGTTGACCATCTGATCACGTTTGTTCCTTTCTGTGGTAATGTGCTGGAGCTGGCTAGTACCAGCTCAGGAGAGCCAAATATGTACATCTCTTCCCAAATCTACATTAGTAACATCATGTTAGTAGCTCAAAGTTGGTCATGGTGGGAGTATTTACACCACAGAAAGCAGTAAGTACCACAAATCCAGGCTTTTTCTTTCTGTTTTTGGGAACCAATTTACCAGTACCATGACTTACCCTCCTTTGCAATCAACCCCGTATATCCTACAGCCACAGTCTACTTGTGGACATTATTTTATTTTGTGTTCTCTAGAATTTTATATAAGTAAAATCATGCCATATGTACTCTTTGGTGCTTCTTTTGCTCAGTGTGTTTTTGAAATTAATCACGTTGTTGCGCATAGCAGTAGTTCATCCCTTTTCATCGTTTTCCATTGCATGGATGTACCACACATTTATTCATTCATCTGGTGATGGACATTTGGGTTGTTTCCATTTGGGACTACTATAAATAAACTTGTCATAAACATGTATGTGCCAGTCATTGGGTGGACAAGTTTGAATTATTCTTGGAAAAATAACTAGGAGTAGAGTTGCTGGGTCATATGTTAAGCTTATATTTTTATATAAGGAGCTGCTAACCTGTTTTCCAAAGCGGTTTGATACAGGATTTTGCTATGTTGCCCAGCCTGGAGTGCAGTGGCCTACAGCCTCAACCTCCCCAGCCAATCTTCTCACCTCAACACCCCAAGTAACCGGGACCACTGGTGCATGCCACCACGCCTGGCTAATTTTATTTTTTGTAGAGACAGGGTCTCACTGTGTGGCTCAGGCTAATCTTGAACTCCTGGGCTCAAGTGATCCTCTCACCTTGGCCTCCCAAAGTGCTGGAAATACAGGTATGAGTCAATGTACCCAGCCAGTCTTGTCTTTTTAGTTTTAGACATTCTAGTGGGTGGATGTATAGTGTTATCTCATTGTGTTTATTTTTAAATTGCCTTTATTGTGGTATAACATATTTTTTTAAATGTAGGTTTTAAGTTTCTATGCTAATCTGATCACCATCACAATCAAGATAGTGAACATTTCTGTCACCCCCAAAAGTTCTTGTGTCATTTCCAAACGACTCTCCTCCTCCACCTCCATCTCTAGGCAACCACCAATCTGTCCTCTGTCAGTATAGATTGGATTTGTCTTTTTTTTTTTTTTCTTTTTTTAGGCAGGGTCTCGCTCCGTCACCCAGGCTGGAGTGCAGTGATGCAATCTCGACTCACTGCAACCTCCACTTCCGGGGTCAAGCAGTCCTCCCACCTCAGCCTCCTGAGTAGCTGAAACTATAGGAACGTGCCACCATACCCAGCTAATTTTTGTATTTTTTGTAGAGACAGGGTTTTGCTGTATTACCCAGGCTGATCTCAAATGCTGGACTGAAGTGATCCTTCTGCCTTAGCCTCCCTAAAGTGCTGGAATTACAGACATGAGCCACCACACCTGGCCAGATTTGTCTTTTTTAGACTTTTGTACAAATAGAATCATAAAACATGTAGTATTTTTGTGTCTGTTGTCATTAACTTAGTGTGAGATTCATCCGGTTGTTCCATGTATCAATAGTTTGTTCCTTTTTCTTGCTGAGTAATATTCTGTTGTAGGAATTTGCCAGAATTGGCTTAGTCATTCTCCTGTTTATGGACATTTGGATTGTGTCTGGGGCTACTGTGAATTAATGCTGTTTTGAATGTTTTTGTGTAAGTCTTTGTGGACATGTGCTTTATTTTTTTTGAGACGAAGTCTCACTCTGTCATCCAGGCTGGAGTGCAGTAGCGTGGTCTTGGCTCACTGCAACCTCCGCCTTCCAGGTTCAAACAATTCTTCTGCCTCAGCCTCCCAAGTAGTTGGATTACAGGCATGTGCCACCATGCTTAGCTAATTTTTTTTGTATTTTTTTTTTGCAGAGACGGGGTTTCACCATGTTGGCCCAGCTGGTCTTGAACTCCTGACCTCAAGTGATCCACCCACCTCAGCCTCCCAAAGTGCTGGGATTACAGGCATGAGCCACCGTGCTCTGCTTGGACTTACGCTTTTATCTTATTTCCACCTAGGAGTGGAAATGCTAGGTCATATGGTATGCATATATTTATAAGAAACTGCCAAACTCTTTTCCAAAGTTGCTGTATTACTGTACATTTCTACCACAGATGTTTGAGAGTTTTAGTTGCTCCACATTCTCATAAACACTTGATATTGTCAGTCTTTTTAATTTTAGCCATTCTAATTGTGGTATTTCATTATAGTTTAAATTTGCATTTCTATGATGACCTAATGAGGTCGATTTTTTTTTTTTTTTTAGGTGGAATCTCGCTCTGTCACCCAGGCTGGAGTGCAGTGGTGCGATCTCGGCTCATTGCAAGCTCTGCCTCCTGGGTTCTTGCCATTCTCCTGCCTCAGCCTCCCTAGTAGCTGGGACTACAGGCACATGCCACCACGCCTGGCTAATTTTTTGTATTTTTAGTAGAGACCGGGTTTCACTGCGTTAGCCAGGATGATCTTGATCTCCTGACCTCGTGATCCGTCTGCCTTGGCCTCCCAAAGTGCTGGGATTACAGACGTGAGCCACCACGCCCAGCCAATGATGTTGAACATTTTTTACCAGTCTATTGGCTATTCATATATCTTATGTTGTGAAATATCTGTTTAAATATTTTGCCCATTAAAAAAACTGATCTAGGCTGGGTGCAGTGACTCACATCTCTAATTCCAGCACTTTGGAAGTCCAAGGGGATTGGATCACCTGAGGTAAGGAGTTTGAGACCAGCCTGGCCAACAGGGTGAAACCCCGTATCTGTTGAAAATACAAAAATTAGCTGGGGGTGGTGGTACGTGCCTGTAATCCCAGCTACAGTGCCTGAACAGGAAAAAACAAAATCGTTTAGACGACTTTTAAACAGAGGATACATATTTTCAGAGATATAACAATGTTGTATCAATGAAATAAGAACAGGTTGTTTTTTAAAAAGAACATTGGAGAATAAAACATCTAAAAAATATGATAACCATTAACTTTAATCAATGAGTTAGAAGATAAAATTGAGCAAATAGCTTTTTAAAAAACCCTAAAAGCTGGAAAATTTTTTTAAGAACTAAAGGTGGCCCAGTAAGACTAATATTCAATTAAGAAGCACTACAGAGGGCCGGGTGTGGTGGCTCACGCCTGTAATCCCAGCACTTTGGGAGGCCGAGGTGGGCACATCACAAGGTCAGGAGTTAAATACCAGCCTCACCAACATGGTGAATCCCCATCTCTACTAAAAATACAAGAATTAGCCGGGCATGTTGGTGTGCACCTGTAATCCCAGCCACTTGGGAAGCTGAGGCAGGAGAATTGCTTAAACCTGCGAGGCGGAGGTCACAGTGAGCCGAGACTGCGCCAGTGCACTCCAGCCTGGGTGGCAGAGTGAGACTCTGTCTCAAAAAAAAAGAAGCATTACAGTGATACGGAACAACATAGAGAAATGGAGAGAAAACAATCATCAAAGGAAAAATTCAAGAAGTCATCTCAGATCTGAATGGCCTAGATTTCCAAAATGAAAGGCCCAGTGAGTACACAATGTAATGGATGAAAACATTCATTCAAAGACATATTATCATGCCGTTTCAGATCAATGAGTTAATAGAGGATCCTAAAACAGAAAAAGCAGGTCACATTCAAAGGAACAACGATGAGAATGGCATCATGCTGCTTATTAGCCATGCTGAAGGATAATGTAGGAATGCTTTCCAATGATTTATGATACATAATTTTATAAATTATTTAAATTGTGAATTCAGTGGAGTAAGCATATTTTCAAGGCCAGGTATAGTGGCTCATGCCTGTAATACCAAGCCTTTGGTAAGCCGAAGCTGATGGATCATTTGAGCCTCAGGAGTTCAAGAGCAGCTTGGGCAACATGGTGTAACCCTATCTCTACAGAAAAAAAAAAAAAAAAAAAAATGGTGTGCACTTGGACTCCCAGCTACTTGGGAGGCTGCACGTGGAGGTTCACCTGAGCCCAGGGAGATAGAGGCTGCCGTGAGCCATGATCATGCCACTGTACTCCAGCATGGGCGACAGAGTGAGACCCCGTCTCAAAAAAATAAAGCATATTTTCAGATATGTGAAATCTTATTTACTATCCGTGTACCCTTTCTCAGGAAACTACTGGAGGATGTGGTGCACCGGAATAAGAGAATAAACCAAGAAACAGGAAGACGTGATCCAGGCAACAGGATATTCCAGTATAGGTGAGAAATAAAGTCTCCAGGATGATAATGAAGGGAAATCCTAGGGTGATAGCTGGCCTGGCAGCAGGCCTAGGGAGCAATCAGTAAGGCTAGAGCCAGAGGACAGAAGCCTCCAGGAGGGAGGTACCCAAGAAATAAGATGAAATGAATACAGGAAAAATCTATAGTTTTAGTGAATGATGGAGAATAAATTCATGATTGGTACATAGAAACTAAGCAAATAAATCCCAATTTTGTTTTTATGTATAATTGACTCTATGAAATTTTTTTAACAAAGAAACAAAACATAATCATAGTAGGCTAAATTGCCCAGTGGTGAATAATATTTACAGAGGCATAAACGAGTATGTCAATTTCCACCAAGCCCAGCATAACATGGGCTTTCCTCTTTATGGTCCAAGATGGCTACTTCCTTTCCAACCACCCTGCCTGCACTCCAGCCAGCATGAGTCCTCTTTGTTCCAGCTATCCTGGGTTTCTTTTGGTTAACTGGGAATTGAATTAATGAAATTCAATTAGTAAATTAAAGCGTTAAGTTAATACATGTTTGAATTAAAATATTAGTCTGGGCATGGTGACTCATGCCTCTAGTCCCAGATACTTCAGAGGCTGAGGTGGGAGGATCAGTTAAGCCCGAGAGGTAGAGGCTGCCGTGAGCGACTATTGTGCTACTGCACTCCAGCCTGCATGACAGTGGGCGACCCTGTCTCAAAAAAAAAAAAAAAAAGCCAGGCACAGTGGCTCACTCCTGTAATCCCAACATTTTGGGAGGCTGAAGTGGGTAGATCCTTTGAGGTCGGGAGTTTGAGACCAGCCTGGCCAACATGGTGAAACCCTGTCTCTACTAAAAATAGAAAAATTAGCTGGGCATGGTGGTACACACCTGTAGTCCCAGCCACTCAGGAGGCTGAAGCAGGAGAATCTCTTGAACCTGGGAGGTGGAGGCTGCAGTGAGCTGAGATCTTGCCACCACATTCCAGCCTGGGTGACACAGCTAGGCTCCGTCTCAAAAAAAAAAAAGAGACCCTGTTTCGGGTGGAGTTCGAGAACAGCCTGGCCAACATGGTGAAACCCCGTCTCTACTAAAAATACGAAAATGAGCCGGATGTGGTGGTGGGTACTTGTAATCCCAGCTACTCAGGAGGCTGAGGCAGGAGAATTGCTTGAACCTGGGAGGCGGAGGTTGCAGTGAGCCGAGATCGTGCCATTGCACTCCAGCCTGGGTGACAACAACAAGACTCTGTCTCAAAAAAATAAAATAAAATAATATAAATGCATCACTGAGTGTCCAGAACAGCAGGGTTTTGACAGAGGTTCCAGTGATGACTTGTGTGACCTTGGGTAAAGCACCCTCTGGGACTCAGGTCCTTTTATGAAAAATGGGAGGGTGGAAGAGATAATAAAAGCATCAACCACAGTGCAGCTCACAAGGATGTGGCAGTGCTGTGTAAGTGACTGAATGCTATGTAACCAGCTCAGCCTCCTGAGTAGCTGGTACCACAGACACGCACCACCATGCCCGCCTAATTTTTTTTGAAACAGAGTCTCACTTTGTCACCCAGGCTGGAGTACAGTGGCATGATCTCGGCTCACTCCAACCTCTACCTCCTGGATTCAAGCAGTTCTCCTGCCTCTGCCTCCCAAGTAGCTGAGACTACAGGTGCGTGCTACCACTTCTGGCTAATTTTTTGTATTTTTAGTAGAGACGGGGTTTCACCATGTTGGCCAGGATGGCCTTAAACTCCTGACCTCAGATGATTCACCCACCTCCACCTCCCCTTTGCTGGGATTACAGGCTGAGCCACCACGCCCGGCCAACCCTGTGGCTCATTTTTAAATTATCTGCAGAAATGAGGTTGTGCTCTGTTGCCCAGGTTGTTCTTGAACTCCTGGGCTCAAGCAAGGAATCATCCCGCCTTGGCCTCCCAAAGTGCTGGGATGGCAGGCATGAGCTGCTGTGCTTGGTGGTGATTTTTCAAGAAAAGCTGGTAATCTGGATTTTTATTTAAAATCCCTCGATTTTTAAAAGCTGGAATGGAAATTTTCAAGCAGATTGAGGATTTTTGGCCTTCCCACATACTGGCCACATGAGAAAATAAAATAAATAAATAAATAAAATTTCAAAAAGACTTTTAAAGCATTGTGTAGGTCAAGAAAAAAAAGGCAAGTTTGCAACCTCTGGGGTGCAGTACTATAGAATATTTAGAGTAGTCAGTGTCCTCCCTGGGGAAGAACTGTGTCTTGTTTGTTCTACTCAGAGCTAGCAAGAGGGTTGTGGTAATGGTAAATCACATGCCTATCTGGGCAGAAGCTCTGCCCTCCTATCCTTGGGCAATGTTTCATATTTTGCAGGCAGAGAGGAAATGGCCTAAAATGAACCATTATGTTTCTCCATGATGGCATGTCAGGGCTGATCAGATTGGAGAGGTAAACTCCAGGTTTCTCATCCATTCTATGAAATTTGACTACTGGTTGTGCCTACTACTCGAAACCATTGTAAGAATAAAATATCACATATTTGGAAATAGGTAGAATTTTCCCTAAAGTGTAATAAAGCAGGTACCAATTGGGATAATGATTTTGCCATGAACAGCTCAGAGGAGTGTAACATTTCTGGAATGATGGCAGCTTCTATAAAGCTGAGCTAGGACCACCCTGGCTAACTTGGTGAAACTCCATTTCTACTAAAAATACAAAAATTAGCTGGATGTGGTGGCACATGCCTGTAGTCCCAGCTACTCGGGAGACTGAGGCAGAAGAATTGCTTGAACCCAGGAGGTGGAGGTTGCAGTGAGCGGAGATCGCACCACTGCACTCCAGCCTGGGCAATAGAGTTAGACTCTGTCAAAAAAAAAAAAAAAAGCTGGGCTTAAACTTTGGCTATAAGAAATCAACAGGTGGCCGGGCGCAGTGGCTCACACCTGTAATCCTGACACTTTGGGAGGCCGAGGCAGGTGGATCACGAGGTCAGGAGATGGAGACCATCCTGACTAACACAGTGAAATCCCATCTCTACTAAAAATACAAAAAATTAGCTGGGCGTGGTGGCGTACCCATGTAGTCACAGCTACTCGGGAGGCTGAGGCAGAAGAAATTGCTTGAACCCGGGAGGCAGAGGTTGCAGTGAGCTGAGATCACACCACTGCACTCCAGCCTGTGCGACAGAGTGAGACTCTGTCTTAAAAAAAGAAAAAAGAAAGAAATCAAGAGGCAAGAATGCTTTGGTGATTCTGCTCTGGTGGGTTTGAGAAGGAGGCAGGATGATCTTTTCTGGAAGCGGTGTCGGGGAGTTGGTGTAGAGCTGAGAAATCTACATTGCCATAAATGGTGTGATCCTGCTCCAAACAGCTGCGTTCACCCCCAGGCTTGATAAGCCTCATACTGGAAGTTCCAACTGAAATAAACTTATGACCTTTCCATCAGTTCCCTGGAGTAGGTCAGGGTTTTAGAGGGTATTTCATATTCCCATTATAAGGAGATTTGAACTCTTGGGTTCTATTAAGAAAGCAGCACAACTTATTATTACCGATAATATAGTCTTAGTAGTATTCCTATAATGCTTTATAACTTAAAAAGACCTTTTATTTGTATTATTCTCATTTTGCTCCCCGGTAACTATGAGATAATTGTTATTCCCACTTTACAGGTAAGGAATCTGATGCTCTCCCTTTGTTCCTTAGTTAGAGTTCTGAATATTTTTACTTTTTTCAGAGAATGGAGGCACACTATGTTTCCAAGGCTAGTCCTGAACTCCTGGGCTCAGGTGATCCTTCCACCTTTGCCTCTCTTAAGTGCTGGGAGTACAGATGTGAGCCACCATGCCTGGACGAGTTCTGAATCTTTAACAAGGCCCAAGTTCTTGCCAGCCTGGCTCTAGTCTGTCTCTCTAGACCCCTCTTGTACCACTTTCCCAAGAGCTTTCTGTTCTCCTTTCTTTTTTTTCCTCAGTTTTTTTTTTTTTTTTTTTTTTGAGACAGTCTCGCTCTTGTCACCCAGGTTGAAGTGCAATGGCACTATCTAGGCTCACTGCAATCTCTGCCTCCCAGATTTAAGTGATTCTTGTGCCTCAGTCTCTAGAGGAGCTGGAATTACAGACGTGCACCACCACGCCTGGCTAATTTTTTTGTATTTTTGGTAGAGACGGGTTTTTACCGTTTTGGCCAGGCTAGTCTCAAAACTCCTGACCTTGGGTGATCTGTCTGCCTTGGCCTCCTAAAGTGCTGAGATTACAGGCGTGAGCCACTGCGCCTGGCTGAGTATCCTTTTTTATTTATTTATTTTTTTGAGATGGAATCTCACTCTGTCACCAGACTGGAGTGCAGTGGTGCGATCTCAGCTCACTGCAACCTCTGCCTGCTGGGTTCAAGCGATTCTCCTGTCTCAGCCTCCCGAGTAGCTGGGACTGCAGACGTGCACCACCATGCCCAGCTAATTTTTGTATTTTTGGTAGAGACAGGGTTTCACCATGTTGGCTGGGATGGTCTCGATCTCTTGACCTCATGATCCACTCGCCTTAGCCCCTCAAAGTGCTGGGATTACAGGTGTGAGCCACCGCACTCAGCCAAGAACCCTGTTTTTGAGACAGGGTCTTGCTCAGTCACCCAGGCTAGAGTGCAGTGACTGGACCACATCTCACATACCTCAACTTCCTGGACTCATGCGATCCTTCCACCTCAGCCTCCCAAGTAGTTGGGACTATGGGCACATGCCACCATGCCTAGCTAATTTTTTTTTTTTTAAAGTAGATACTGGGTCTCACTATGTTACCTAGGTTGGTCTTGAACTCCTGGGCTTAAGCGATCCTCCCATCTCAGCCTGACAAAGTGCTGGGATCACAGGTGTGAGCTACTGCACCCGGCCCATCTTGGATTTCTTTTGCTTTTTTTTTTTTTTTTTGAGATGGAGTTTCGCTCTTGTTGCCCAGGCTGGAGTGCAATGGCACCATCTCGGTTTGCTGCAACCTCCACCTCCCAGGTACAAGCGATTCTCCTGCCTCAGCCTCCTGAGTAGCTGGGATTACTGCCACCTGCCACCATGCCTGTCTAATTTTTTGTATTTTTAGTAAAGACGGGTTTTACCATGTTGGCTGGTCTCGAACTCCTGACCTCGGGTGATGTGCCCACATCGGCCTCCCAAAGTGCTGGGATTACAGGCATGAGCCACCGTGCCCAGCCCTCTTCTGCTTTCTTAAATAGGTCTGCTTCCTTCTTTTTTTTTTTTTTTTTTTTGAGACGAAGTCTCGTTCATTCGCACAGGCTGGAGTGCAGTGGTGCGATCTCGGCTCACTGCAAGCTCCGCCTCCTGGGTTCACACCATTCTCCTGCCTCAGCCTCCCGAGTAGCTGGCACTACAGGCGCCTGCCGCCACACCTGGCTAATTTTTTGCATTTTTTTTAGCAGAGACGGGATTTCACCATGTTAGCCAGGATAGTCTCGATCTCCTGACCTCGTGATCCACCCGCCTCGGCCTCCCAAAGTGCTGGGATTACAGGTGTGAGCCACCGCGCCCGGCCACGTCTCCTTCCTTCTAACTACAGGCCCGTTGCACATGCTGTTTCT